AACAGTGTTGTAGCTGAAGCCTCCCCATGTCGAGGACCACGCATTCCTTTTTTTTTTCCTTTTGCATCATCGGCTCATCTCTGGACCACCCCCTCCCCCGCCCTCTGCTCCACAGGGCTACATTATGAGCCGAATTCCAGGATTGCTCTGTTGCATTTAATCCGGCCGCTTTTTTCAAGACTAATCCTTTCATTGTGGCAGAAGCTCCTGCCCACGAGAACGTGCACTACGGTCAAGCCGCGAGTCTTTAAAATGCCACGGGACTCCTCATACGTAGGAAGCCAAGTTTTTCCAAAGCTTTCCCTCACCCGGTTCATTCTGAAATGATCAAAGCGGAGTTAAATTGATTTGTTTAGAGCAGGGGTTCCCCAACACGGTGCCCGTAGGCACCATGCTGGCCTCTAGCTGTGGTGGGGCGATTAGGGGCTCCGCCCCCTTCCTTAAAGGGCCAGCCCCCTTCCTTAAAGGCCCCCCACATCTTAAAGCCCCTCCCCCATTTCTTCCCAAAAGCATTTTAAGGGATCCTTTAAATGCGTTTGAGAAGAATCATAGAATCATAGAGTTGGAAGGGACCTCCAGGGTCATCTAGTCCTACCCCCTGGACAATGCAGGAAATTCACAAATACTTCCCCCTCCACACCCACTGTTCTACATCCAGAAGATGACAAAAAACCCCTCCAGGATTGCTTCCTGACCCCAAAGTGGCGATGAGCATTTCCCTGGACATGTAAAAAAGGGCCACAAGAACTGAGGCAATCCTTCCTGCCCTCCCTCTCATGATCTGCCTAAGTTAACAGAATCAGCATGGCTGTCAGATGGCCATCAAGACTCCGTTTGAAAACCTTCGAAGAAGGAGAGGCCACCCCCCTCCCCAGGAAGCGTGCTCCACTGAGGAACCGCACTAACTGTCAGGAAGATCTCCCATATGTTTTGCCAAAAACTCTTTTGATTTAATTTCAACCCATTGGTTCTGGTCCAACCTTCTGGGGCAACAGAAAACGACTCTGTACCATCTTTTATATGACAGCCCTTCAAGTCCTTGAAGATGGCCACGTGCTCCCTGCTGATCAGCTGAGGGGCCCTTTAGATCTTGTAGGAGGGGAGGGAGAGGGGTGCGTGCCACCGGCTTTCATTAAGTTAAATAATAGCAGCCCCACCAGCTCCACCAAAACAAAATTGCCCCATCAGCCACAAAGTCCTGGCTACGGGCCTGGTGCCATGGTGTTTTCCAACACCTTTCTTGGCACTCATCAAATGCTTTAGAAAGTAGGCAGGGACAGGTGAGGCTTTTGCCCAGCAAGACCTCTGACTGGTCACTGGAGATTTGATTGACTGTGGCTTTGGCAGCAGCTGCCACCACACCACAAGGATCTTCACTGTGTGACTGGAGGTCATTTTGTGGTTGTGCCCACCGCACACTATCAGAATTCCAAAGATGCCCGCAGGCTCAAGAAGGTTGGGGACACCTGGTTTAGAGAATTTATATGCTGCCTCTTCATAGACCTGCGGGAAGCGGCTTACAACTAAAGCAATAAAACGAAGAAGAAGAAGAAGAAGAAGAAGAAGAAGAAGAAGAAAAAGAGGAAGAGGAAGAAGAAGAAGAAGAAGAGGAGGAGGAGGAGGAAGAGGAGGAGGAGGAGGAGATTGGATTTATGCCCCGCCCTTCACTCGGAGTCTCAGAGCGGCTTACAAACTCCTTTCCCTTCCCCTCTCCACAACAGACACCCTGTGAGGTAGGTGGGGCTGAGGGAGCTCTGACAGAAACTGCTCTTTCAAGGACAGCTCTGACAGAACTATGGCTTGCCCAAGGTCATCCAGCAGCTGCAAGTGGAGGAGTGGAGAATCAAACCTGGTTCTCCCAGACTAGAGTCTGCGCGCTTATCCACCACACCAAACTAAAACCAAACCATTAAAAAACAACAGCAAGCTAATGCCATTAAAACAAGCCATTAAAAAAAAAGGTCAGTGCCATTAAGATCTGCTATTTGTTGAGGACACTCCAGCTCTGGTTTGATAGTCACATGGGTATTTTCTGGACCAGAACTGGAAGATGTTCTAATTCAACAGCTGTGCATTTGGCACCAGACAACATGACTCTCATCTTCAGAGGCCTCATAAACATCCTAGTCTTGTGTCTATCAATCTTGCTGCTTAACTTTCCTTTTTTTGGTCCAGTATTAACTTATTGGTTATCTCACTGTAATACGTAACATTGTAATATGCAGGCTAACGTTCGGCATGTGCTTTGCCAGCTGCACTGGTTACCAGTCAAGTACCGGATCCGCTTCAAGGTGTTGGTAATAACCTTCATAGCCTTACACAGCCTGGGAGCAACATATCTAAGGGACCGCCTCTTCCCGTACACGCCTCAAAGAGCTTTACGCTGTAGTAATCAACATCTCCTGGCGGTCCCTGGCCCAAAAGACGTCCGTCTAGCCTCGACCAGGGCCAGGGCCTTCTCTGCCCTGGCCCCCACCTGGTGGAACACGCTCCCCATCGAGATCAGGGCCTTGCGGGATCTTGCTCAGTACCGCAGGGCCTGCAAGATGGAGCTCTTCCACCAGGCCTTTGGCTGAGGCAGCGGGCGTCCACGTATGGCCTCCCCGAGGTTGCTGTCTCCTACCTACTGGCCACCCATCTACCAGCAACCGGCCACATCCACCTGTATTAATGGGTCGGAACATTCACCAGTAGCTATAACCACTGATTTTAAATGTTTATATTGTGCTTTAACCCTTATTGTATTGTTGAAGATGATGTGACCTGCCTAGGGTTGCCAAGTCCATCTTCCACCCCCAGCGGGGGACTTTGGGGGCGTTCCTGGAGGGGGCGGGGCATCCCGACGTGATGACGTCCCTTTGGGGACTTCCGCCGCCCCCCCCACCCGCCCATGCGCCAGATCTCCAGAAATGGCAGTTCCCTGCACTTAAAGGAGCCGGCGTTTCCCCTTTAAATGCAGACGCTGGCATTTCCCCTTTAAGAGCAACCGCATTTCCCTTTTAAGAGCACGAAGCTGGCATTTCCCTGCAAGCTTGCGGAGATCAGGCTTGGAAGGAAACACGGATTCCACACACTTAAAGGGAGAGAGATGGGTAGCTGTGGGTGTTGAGGTGGGGGACCCCTGGCAAACCGGGGGGGGGGGTGGGCAACCCTACTTTAGCATCCATTGATTGCCCTCAGCCTGCTCACGGGATGGGCAGGATACAAATACGAAAAATAAATAAATAAATAAAAATAACGTGGGGGGGGAGGCATGACTGTTCGCCCTGGAGCAAAATAAAGCGTGGTAGCCCGATCACACGGTCCCCTGAGGCTTCACGCTTAGGCTGTTAGTTGGTGATCACACGGCGACGCTGGAGCATGGCAAAGAAGTGGTGCAGCAGGCGTTTCGCATTTGTGCGCATGCGCAATTCTGTGGAGCAGCACTGCTTTCAGTTATGTGTTTGTGCGCATGTGCTTACGAAAAACATCTGGTTTGTGACGGGATGTGGACAGGCGCCGGATGCCATGGAATACTAGCGCTCCCATGATTAGACGCCTGCCCGTGCCCCACATTTTCCGGATACTAGTGCAGTTTCTGAGGTAGTTTTTTACTGCGCATCTTCGGCAGGACGCCACAAGTTGGCCACGGGTGCGCTACGCTTCCCAGATGTTGCGGTGTGATCATGCACCGAAAATCCACCTGACATTCGTATCTTTAGCGTGGCAACTTCTCCGTGTGAATGGGGCCATTGTAACATGTGTCTATCTATACCTCAAATTGTTTGACATCTGAAGAAGTCCCCCAAGGGGTGAAAACACATCAGGTCACTTATATTGGCCCAATATGCTCAGCTCACTTGTACTTTGTAGTGAGGCTTTCATCGGGCCCTGATATCTTTTTAACTGTCTTTCTTATAAACACGTATCTTTTTGCATATAACACACGTACACGAGGTTTTTAACACTGGCCCTTTATCGGGCTTCATTCTTACCATCAAAAACAAGCCAGGGCATAACAGGGCATAAGATACACACTGATCAGCTTTGAAAATGGCTTACAAAGATAGCCGAGAGCAATGCATCACATGCTCAAGACATCCGTCCTTCATGGGTCTTTGATTGCATGAGTGGAAGACAGCTTCAGGTTAGCTGGTGATTGCAGGCATTTCTTATAGCAGCCCTTTCACATCCCAGAGGAGAGCGAGTGTTTTTAAACAAGCCAGTGCTTTGTCGAAAAGAAGGTGGATTGGATCCCACTACCGCAATGGCACATGGAGAGAGAAAAAAGAACACCACGCATTTGGGAGTGTTCTTCTATACAAACAAGAGAAACCGTCTCAGATCCACTGGATTATTATGCAGCCGACCAGAAGATGCTGCGCGGGCTGCTGCAGCGGCACTCGGGATCATGTCCCTCCTCAGTCTGCCCCCATTTTGCCTTTCGCAAATCATACTTCCTTTCTACCGGGTCTGCATTTCCCCCCCAGGGCCTTTTCTGCTAAAGACAGACACGCAGGCTTGCGATGGTAGCCTTACATACAAAGCAAACAGAGGGATAAATGAAAGGAAGGGATGCGTTGTGTTCTCGCATTGCGATTTGTGCTTTCTTATATTTAATCAAACCGTTGTTTCGGCCAGTGATTGCGCAATGGAGTAATGTGGGACGGGGGGGGAGGGGTCCGACCATGAGATCTGCGCCTCGGATTTTAATCTCTCTCTCTGTCTCTCTGCAGTGTCCCCTCGTTCCCATGATGTCACACCGCCTGCCTGGCCCGTGCCAAGCTGCAGAGGCATCTACTGGCTCCTCCACCGCTGCACCCCTCCCTTCCTCCCCCTCCCCTGAAGGAATGACCTATATTTGTGCTTCAGATGTTGTCCTCTTCTGGGGCCAACTGCAGACTGAACAGAAGGGCTGTAATTGGAATGAGAAACAGCGAGAGCTCTCTCTCTCACTCTCTCGGTCTGGATCTCTCTCTAAAACGGGCAGCTCTGAAACATATTCTGCACACCCAACATACCTGACCGTTGCCCATGTTCTCGTGGGCTTGCCCAACATACCTGACCGTTGCCCAGTTTTCCCCTGACAGGCGCCAGAAGGAGAAATCTGGGGAAACTGGGGTTTCCATTTTCTCCAGGAGGAATGAAATAAATGTTTCAAATAAATCCAACAAATAAATAAGCGATTCAGGGAGTCTAGAGATCAACCCCATTGGAAACAGCTCTCCCACTTCTGTCTGGTTTTACTGTGCATTTAAACAAGGTTACACCGTGCAAAAAGATGCACTAAATAAATAAAACTCATGTAATTATAAAGGTTATAAGTGTGCTTTATCCCAAATATAATAGTAAGTGTCAATAAGATACAATGCATATACGACTACATATAAATCAAAAGTCAACATTCAGTCTCTAATATTCAGTCGCTTGAGAAATCTGACCTGGGGAAACCTTCCAGCGAATATCCTGCTGTGTACAAACAGGGCTATTTGGGGGCAGGAACGCACAGGAACGGAGTTCCGGCTGGCTCCCAAGTTGGCCACGCCCAGCAGGAACTCATTAGCATAATAGGCCACACCCAACAGCAGAAACTCATTAGGATTGGCTACATTAGGGGTGTGTGGCCTAACATGCAAAAAAGTTCCTGCTACAAAAAAGCCCTGGATTTGGACAACAAACAAGGTAAACAGAATAAGAAGCAAAAGGTGGGTGTGGCTGGATGAGCACACTTCTGGTAACGTGGGGGTGTGGTCTAATGTGCTAATGAGCCGTGCTGTCAGGGGTGTGGCCCAATATGCTAATGAGTTCCTGTTGTTGGGTGTGGCCTATTATGCTAATGGGTTCCTGCTGGGCTTTTTCTACAAAAAGAGCCCTGTAAAAGTTCGCTTCCTCCCAACTCCATTAGGGTGACGGAGCTTGTAGCAAGCAAAGATCCACACCCAACAAGCTATCGATAAAAGCTGTTTCGAAACTCTCTTTCTCGAGAGCTAATGATCTTTTTCTTCAAAGCTGATGATCCTTCTACAGACAAAATCAATTTTCACAGGTAATAAGGCACATTAATGACGGAACGCAACTGCCGCCAGATTTCAATTCTTCAGCTTAGACGTACCCCCACAACAGGCTCAACATTCTTGACTATTTATACTTCCTATTATATTTGGTATAAAGCACACTTATAACCTTTATAATCACATGAGTATTTATTTACTTATTACATATTTTTGCAGGGTATAACGTTAAGTTAACTCATCAGAGCTGTGTCCCCTGTTTACATGGCTTTACCGTGCAGGCAAATATTCCGTGCAAAGGCGCCTGTCCATCTATGCACAGCTTTCGGATTTCATGTTGCCAGCGGGTCCCTTTAGGAAATCGATAGTGAATCACATAAACAGGAATGTCTCAGCCCTTGTCCAAGGGCACAGCCAGTCACATGGGGAGAACTGCAGCGATAGGGAGGCGAGTTTGAGCCTGCCTGGCAGGGCTCCTGAAATTCAGGAGATGGTGCCTTCCTGCTTTGCAGCAAATCGCTGACTCTTTTTTTAAAAAAAAAATTATTTATAAGTTTCCATCGTATAACATATTTTTCTCCTTCCAACATTCCAATTACTTAACAAAACTAATTTCCATTCTTTTATACACTTTATATATTCGAGTCAAACTTCCTCTATTTATTATACATCCAATTGTAAAATCTTTCCCATCTTTTCATAAACACACTTTCCTCTTTCCCTTGCAGAATTAAGGTTAACTTATCCATTTCTGCAGCTTCCATTAATTTTTCTAATGTCTCCTGTCTTGTTGGGACTCTATCTTGTTTCCAGTACTTGGCCAATAATATTCTTGCAGCGGTCATTATATATGTTAATACATATTTTTCATTAGAATTACATTTCTCTGGTACCATATTCAACAATGCTATTTCCGGGGTGAGGATTATGTTTAACTTCATAATATTGCCTACCAGTCTTTGTATCATTTCCCAATATCTCTTGACTTTCTGGCATCGCCACCACATATGAAAAAACGTCCCTATGTTTTTTGTACATTTCCAACATGCTTTAGATGCCAATGGGTCGCATTTTGATATCCTATCTGGGGACCAATACCATCTATGGTATACCTTGTATATATTTTCTTTATAATTAATTGCTCTTACATAATTCAGCGATCTCCAGGTATTCACCCATTTCTCCCTTTCTATCGTGTGACCTAAATCTTTTATCCATGCTAACATATTTTGACTAACCATTTCATTTTGCATATATTCCTCCAGCAAAAAACCATATAATCTCTGGATTAATTTATCACTTGAGGATAACCAAATCTTATCCAGTTGTGATCGCGTTTCTTGAAATCCTACTACCACATCCTTAGCATGTCTAGATCTAAGCTGTAAAGCTTCCCATCCTTTTAATTTTATATTATATACTGTTAATAATGTGTCTTCTGATTTTAATTTGTTGTTCCCATCTAGCAATGTTTGATAACTTTCTCTATCCCACGGGTTAATAAGAAATGGTTTTATATATGCTTCCAGTGGTGAAACCCATTTAGGGGTTTTCTTATAGTACTGTCCTTTAATTTCATTCCATATCCATAGTAATGAGCCCCTAACCGTGTGTTGTTTAAAGTTCGAATGGATCTTATCCTTTCCATACCAGATGTAGGCATGCCAACCCATATACAGGTCATGCCCTTCCAAATTTAAAAGTCTAACATTGTCTAGGGTTAGCCATTCTTTAATCCATGTTAAAGTTGATGCTTGATAATATATTTTCCAATTTGACAATCCCATGCCCCCCTGCTCTTTTCGTTTTTGTAATAGTTTCCATCTAATTCTTGCTCTTTTAGGATACCAAATAATTTTTTTTATCTCCTTATCCATTGCCATGAAAAAATTAGCATTTCTTAATATGGGTATATTTTGAGCTAGAAATAAAAACTTTGGCAAGATCATCATTTTTACGGCCGATATCCTCCCCATTAATGACAGCTGTAGTTTTTTTCCAATTTGAAAGGTCTTTTTTAATTCCGGCTAATAATTTATGGTAATTATCTTCCAAGATTGTACTCGTTTTATTGGATAGCGTTATTCCTAAATATTTAATTTTTTTCACCACTTCTATGTTAGTTGTCCTTTGTAGATTTTGTATTACTTTTACCTCACAATTCTTTGCTATAAATTTAGTTTTTTTCAGGTTGAGCTTTAATCCAGCTGGAGCAAATCGCTGACTCTTGATGCAGCTGCTGAAAGCCTCGCTAGGGGGAAAGGTGGCAATCCAGCGCACTGAATCCCATCTTGCTCACTGCTAGACCACATGCAGAAGTCCATCAGTGGCTATTAGCTACAAGGTATAGATAGGAACTCTCAGGCTGGGGCAAGTGATGCTCTGTATTCTTGGAGCTTGGGGGGGGGACGGACAATGGGAGGGCTTCTAGTGTCCTGGCCCCATTGGTGGACCTCCTGATGGGACCTGGTATTTTTGGCCACTGTGTGACAGAGTGTTGGACTGGATGGGCCATTGGCCTGATCCAACATTGGTTTCTCTTATGTTCTTATGTTCATGGTAAGACCCAAGCCTTGCATGAGCAGGGCCCGGTAGAAACCCTTCATGCCAAAAACTGAAATATCATGATGCATTAAGAAGTAAGGACATGAGATACCCTCCCATCCAGTTTTGGTTTAGCAGTACAGTGTTAGCTCAGCTGGGGCGGGGGTAGAATGTAGCTACTACACAGGAGTCATTACATTTCACTGTTATTTCCTCATCCATTTTAGCAGAGTGCTTACTGAACACACGGAAGCAAACCAGACATTATGGTACTAGCCATATCTTTAGTTTTTAAAAAATTATTTTATTATTTATTTAATTCCTTTATACCCCACCTTTCTTCTCAATGGGGACCCAAAGTGGCTTGCCTCATTCTCCTCCCATTTCACCCTCACAACAGCCCTGTTAGGTGGTGCGACTAAGCTGAGTTGGAGTGAGCTAGCTCACAGTTTTTTAGCCTCTGGCTCACACATTTTTATCTTAGCACAGGAAGGATGGCTCCAGAGCAAACTCATTTATGCAGCAGCCAAATCGCTTGTTCACAACTTTAATGCCAGTAGCTCACAAAGTAGAAGTTTTGCTCACAAGACCCCACAGCTTAGCGGGAGCATTGGACGTGGGTTAGCCTGAGAGAGTGTGATTGGCTCAAGGTCACCCAGCAAGCTTCCATGGCATGAGAGGATTCGAACCTGGGTCTTCCAGATACTAGTCCAACACTCTTAACCAGTACACCACCCTGGCTGTCTACATTACACTATACCACACTACACCAGCACTGGCAACCCCCAAGAGACTGGAGGATAGAGACAGTGGCAAAACAATGTTGCGCGATGCTGCGACATCACTTTCAACTGCATATCCAGAAGTAACCATATTGTGTGATGCACTAGGATTTTCCTGAAACTCTGTGGTAAAAACCATAGAGGTCTGGGGAAAATCCTAGAGTGTTGTGTGGCACGGTGACATCACTTTCTGGTATACAGTTAAAAGTGAGACTGAGGCATCAGGCAATGCTGTTTTGCCTCCTTATTCCCCCTACATTCTACCAAGCGGTGCATGGGGGAGGGGTGGGCAGAGCTCCAGAGCACCAACCTGAAGCCGGGAACCCTAACTTATAACATGGCGCTTTGTCTGTGCCATATTTCACAATGCCGGGATGAGTCAGATAATTTTCAGGCATTCTACCTGTACAATGCTGTTCAACTGATGTGCCTTACATCATTTCCTGTTTGCAAATGCAATGTCCAAATGGTTGCCAACTTCGGGTTGGGAAATGCATGGAGGTTTGGGGACAGACAGAGGTTTGGGGAAAGTGGGGTTCAGGGATGGGAGGAAATTCAGTAGGGTATGACGCCATAGTGTCCCGTCCCTCGTCCCCCCCGACACAACCACTTTCTCCACGGAAACTGATCTCTGTAGTCTGGAGATCACTAATTCTAAGACACTTCTAAACTCCACCTGGAGGTTGGCAACCCCATGAG